GCGCAAGCAGGACGTCAATTAATTGCAGATTTACTGCGACATGCCAGCAAAGATCCTACTTCGTTTTATTTAGCTTATGATGCTATGATGGAATATTTGAATGAAACCCAGCATCTGGAAATTGTTGATAATGAGTTGAAACAAAGAGGAGTAAGTTATCATTTTTATTATATTTGAAGACTCACGTCTGCTACTGTTTCAATGACGTTTATATCAGTTAATATGTTTATATCTATACTTCAATGAAAATAGCATTGTAGGCTTAATAAACCTTAATATGTTAATGAAATTATTGAATTCTTTAACTTAAGCTAACAGTTATATTACTTTAGGTACCGGAACTGGGTTTTTGGGATATCGTTCTAGACTACATTCTGATTGATGCATTTGAAGACCTTTCGCGACCACCATCTGCTGTTTTGGCTGTTACAAAAAATATGTTTTTAAACCAGTTAATGAAGGAATCAACATTAGTAACCGTGATTTGGTCTATGCTGAAAGCTAAACGTGCAAGACTTGCGGTATTATTTTTGCTCACCTGTTTTGAGTATTAATGCAGCTTACTTCCTTTTTTTTATTGCAAAACAATAAGGCAGATTTCATGCATAAAAATTATGTTTTAGGTAGCTGATGGATTTATATCACATTTCTACAATATCTCGGAAGCAGCTTCTCCGTATATTACCTTAGGTTTCTTGGGGACTGATGAACACTTACGCGAGTTATGTCACTACTTCAAAGTTTGTTTTAACATTTGATTGTGGTTGTAATGATTTTCTAAAAGAATAGTCATAATGAAAGTTTTTTCCATCACTTCACTTTATTTTTAAAAACGGAGTTGGAATGTAATTGTATTATGTTATCGAATCTTCAGCAAGAATCAAATCTTTGCTTGTTCCTTACTTTTGAATTAGAGATAATCGTTTTTAACATTGTAAACATCAGGGGAAATTCATTACAGAAATGGTAGTTTTTTTTTCTTATTTTTAGCTTATCACATACTAGATATAATGATACTTGGATTACCTTGCAATTTTCAGGAACAAATGTGTTCGTTTATTGTTGATATATTTAACGTGAAGAAAGTGAGATATACATCGCTTAAGGATTTGGCTGAGGATATACGACTAATTCTCGAAACACGTCTTGAAATGGTTCAAACTAGATTAAGCACTGAATTACTTCCCCCATCATGACATTTCTTTAGTTTAAACTGTAATTTATGTCCATGCTTTGATGTTATTTCAATGTACAATAATGAGATTTTTAATAGTACCAATGTAGATAAAAATAAAACTGAACTTATATGTCTCGAGTTTTAAAGCTGGAAGACTATGAAACAACAATAGTAATATTATTAGAAATACAAGTATAGTTCCTGCATTTAAACTTTTAGAAGTATTTTTTCAAATATCTAGGCTTCCATTGAACTTATCATTTGAGCATACGACTTGATCTCCTAAATTCAATGTTTAACTCTCTGTTAACAATCAATTCGTTCTGTTGTTCCATTTATATATATATATTTTTTTTTTCATTAAATTACTTTTAACTAATTTATTCTAATGTTATTTGACCAGTTATTATCAACAAATATTTATTACAGCGGTTTGCGATGTTTTGCTTAATTTTAATTCCATCATGTTCTCTGTAATATTTTGAATATTTCGGGAAGCGTGGTCTGAATTATTTTTCAGTTTACAAATGGTTAACTTTTTTATGGGAATAGTTTAAGCATACCATATCTCATTTTTTTTAGCAGCAATGCTTTTGAAAGAGGACAGGGAAAAATTATTGGAGAAATGTATACAAATAGATAAAATAATCAAAAGAAATATTAATTTGATACCAATCGGAAATTGGCATTTCGATGATGAGACCACTGAGGAGCTTCGTAAGCAAAAACATCGAATTGTTGATGAACAATTAACAGGAGGTTAGTTTTATTATTAGTTTTTTTTCCTAGATACATTCGCTCTATTTGCTTTTGTAAGCTTTGTTGGGTTTCACCAGTTTATCAAATGATGACGGTAAGTTAAAGATATAACTCTGTAAAAGAGAATAAGATATTTCTATTATTGGGAAATGTTTTCAGAACAGAAACAGAAGCTCAGTAAAGCTTCGAAGCAACGAATAGCTCGTGAAATAGGTGTGAACTGTCGGACGATCAGCGATGTTCTAGATTGGATGGCAAAAAATCACGGTAATACAAAACCTGTTAAGGTAAGATTTTTGCATTCTATACTGAGATAAACATTAGTCACTCATTTCTTATACTATAGGTGTCTAAAAAACTTAGAAATTCTGGTTCTTTGATTTGAAAATTTTTTCTTTTTTTTTTTTTTAAAGCCTGTAACAATTCCCAAAGTGAAGGATCGGAAAAAGAATAAAGATATAAAACCGGTGATAAATAATTCAGTCGATTCTCAACCTTTGGATACTAACGGTTCAACTAAACCTCTTGCTCGAGAATTAAATGGGAGGTATTTTTTTTTTTTTTTTTTTTTAGATTGAAATAGAGTATTTGTACTTCATTGTTTTCTTTGGATTTTGGATTGAATCTGGTCAAAGTGTGTATTGTTTATTTGAACATTGAAGTATTTTTTCTGGTTTTGTTCACAGTTTAAGTGTGTCGAATAAAGTTTCAAATTTCTTTATGAGAGAAATTGAAGTGCCATATTAACTTAGCTATTTTTAGTCTAGTAAATGAAACAACAAGTGCTAATAATGAGCGAAAAAGGATACATGATAGCAGTATGAGTAATACGGAAAATAACTCCTTTTTGGGAACTATTTCCACTGTAGCGCCACCTGATGCTTTGGAAGGTCGCAAGTTAGCTCTTAAAAAACTACAGGAAAAATTGGAACAATTTAAAGGTAAATTTTAATACTTTCATAATTTGCAATAGGAATGTACTCTTTAAGAGAACTGTTCTTACCAATAAATTTTTTTTCTTTCCATAAATTATGTGTTATCATATGAAGATTATGACTTTCTACTATATGATTAATGTATTTTTAGCAAAAAGGCGTGGTAACATGACAGCTTATCAGTATGAAGAAAAACGAAAATTGAAAAGGCGTATGAGTAAATTGAAGATGAAGGAAAGAAGGACAGTTGCTAAACAGCAGATAAAAAATTCGAAGTATATTTTATAGATTTTTTTTTTCTCAGGTATCTGACAGTGATTTGATAAAACTTTTAGAATTTGTTGGAATCTGACTCTTTCCTTTTTTTTCTCTCGTCTATTTTGTTATCTTTTCTTTGGATTTTATCAATATTTTTAAGCTCTCGTGATTTTCTTATGATATTCTAGAAAATTTGTTAAAAAAATTACTACCATCTCACTTATCTTCTATACTACAGGAAATTTTAGGCTACCATCGGATGAAACAGTGCCCAACAAACGTCCGAAATTGGGAACGGAGTCGAAAGTGGGAGAAATGGAAGAGAAAGATGATAAATTGATTTTCTCAAAATTTGATTTCATTGTAAGGGATGAAAAGCAGGTAGCGCATAATTTAATTTATATTCGTGATCTACTTTCCAGATCATTCTTATGCACACTGTAGCATCGACAGTTTCAGAGAAAAACAAAAAAGGATAAACGAGACAAGTTCACCGGTAAAGATTATAAACGATTGCTTGTTAAAGCTGAGAAAAGAGAAGAAAAACTGGAAAAAGTACGATCAAAGAATCCTGAAAAGGCTTTGAGAATTGAAAAAAATATTCAATGGAAGAAAGCATTAAGTCGTGCTGAGGGACAGAAAGTTAAGGTAGAGTTCAAGTAGAAATTTACTTTCTTGAAATTCTAAGGAATTTACTTTATTGAAATTATTGAAATTCTGTTTTTTTCTGAAAAAGTTTGTTAAGCTGTTTCAAAACGTGAAACTGTATTTTTTTTCCTTTTTGCAGGATAATCCAGAGCTTTTGAAAAAAAGCTTAAAAAGAAAGGAAAAATTAAAGGAATCAAGAAGAAAGAAATGGGGAAATCGTGTCAAACATACCTTGCAAATGCAAGCTCGAAAGCAAGAAAAACGATCAGCAAATATCCAAGCTCGTAAAGATATTGTTAAAAAAAGAAAAATGCAAAGAGCTCGAAAGAAGGGAAGAATATTGTGATAGTTATTTTGTTCGTCTTTGTTTCTTGTCATTTTTATTTTTTTGTTTGGGAAATCAAAATTTCTTTGGTATTTTTTTCAAGATTGTTTGAAAGTTTATTACCCTTATTTAGTATTCCTGTAATTGCTACTAGCGTCGATAAAAATATATCAGTGGGTGATTATTAAGTCTTTCTTTTTTATCCCTGAATTAAATTTTTCGAAGAAATTTTCGCGATTTCTAGCTTTTCTAGTTGTGCGTAGAGGATTTTGCTGTAAACGGACGAAAATTATAAAATTATGATGATTGCCATGCAAACAAATGGTTTTTAAAAAAATTCCTCGTGAACGACATAATGACCAATTTGTTGTTATAAAATTGTTGAACTATGGTAGATTGTTATTTGAAAAACTTCCTACATTTTTTCTTTGACTAATTTTTTTTTTACTGTTGGCTTTACGATGAGAATAAATGCAGTCACATTTCTTTTTTTATTGCATTGTCTTTTATTATTGAATTTGAAGGAGGCGCTTCTGATTTTCGTGGTACAGTTTGAGCTATAAATATAAGAAAAAATGAAATTAGATGAGGGTGTTGAAGTTAGAATTAAAAGTATCAAAGTTAGAATTTAAAAGAAAGAACAATAAAAAAGAACACAAATCCTGTGTGCATTGTATTCCAAATCTTGGATAATTGGAGAATTTTAGCGAAGTGTCATTACGTTTTCTTTTTTTTTTTTCCTTTTTAATTGGTTGGAAAGAAATTTTAAAAACATTTCTATGAAGTACTTACAATGGTAATGAAATCAGCATTTGCATATTTATTACTAATACTAACGATAAACAAAGTGACATGTTACGATACATTTATACCGGATTTCAATAAACTTAAACATGGTATGCTGCAAGCCGAAAAAGTAAATTTGCGCCGTTTTAAACGAGTAAGTTCCAAATGGTAATTAGTTTTGGAATTGAAATTACTAACACAGAAATAATTGTGAAACAATTGCATTCTATTCAAAATTTAAAAGTGGTTATTTGGTGATTACTTACCTTTGCATTTCTAATATGCAGTATCGTGCATGATTGGTAAATAGTTTGTTAGCAGTTTGAAAGTGGAAAGAAAGTTTAATTAAAAAAGTTTAATTTAAGTTTAAATAAATTTAAACTCAGATAGTATTAGAAATAATTAAAAAACTTTTAAATTAGTCTATTATTCGAACTCAAATTCTAGTAAAAATAAGTTGTCTAAAATTTGGTTCTTTTTTTTAAAGTTGAGGAGCAATTTTTGTTGAAACAATTTTTTCCTTTTTTTTAGATAAGGTAAATCCGTTTTTTATCTTTAAATTTAAATAAGCAAATTTTGGATTGCTATTACTACTTAACAAATGATTAGTGCATTTCCAGTTATATGCATTCGTATTTTGGATCAATATTGAACAACTGTAATTTACTTCTCAAAAGTTCAGTAGTATTAAAAGTGAAATAATTAATGATAATCATTTAAGAATTTATTTCTTTTATTGATTACAGAAGTTGATAAATCATAAAATGTACCTTAATTAATAGTTATATATAATCATTTTGCAGGCATCAAATGATTACCGTGGATATAGTGAATCACATTTTTATGGAATACAAACAAAGTTAAATAATCAATTTGCAGAATTTATAATGCAAGCAGTAACATTTGCAGCAAATGTGCAGCGTAATCGCGCTTTTTATTATGATACAGCAAAAATATGCAAATTTTTGCGCCATCGTATCATGTAAGCCAAGCGATACAGTTAGATACAATTTAATGCAATTTGTTTAAAGTTAACAATTTTAAAATTGTAATTATACCAATTGCTGTTTTTGGTTTTTTTTTTTTTTGAACAATGCAAAAGATATTATGAATATTTTAATATTCAAATAAAATTATCAAATAAAATAGTTTTAAAAAATTTCGAATGATAATTGTATATAAATTTTTACTTCTCGTTTTTTCATATATTACAGTGGTTTGCATTTTTTTATTTACACAATAGCAGTTGTGATACCATCAATTTTTGGTATTATTATGGCAACATTTGTCTGGCGATCACTTGTACGACAAATTGACGGCATTGTTATGGTATATTGAATAATTTTGTTAAAATTTGATTTTAATTTAAATTAATTTCAACATATATTTTATTTAGATATTCTAAAAAAAAGTTTCCATTGTATTTGATAATTGTTTTTCTTAAATTAGCTATGAATTCTTTTAAACGTTATTTATTTATTTGTTTCTTCTTTCAATTTTTTAAGATAAAACTACTTTTTCATAATACTATGAGCGTATCTGAAAATTTTATAAATTCAATTAAAAATCAAAAAAAATTTTTTTAAAGGCACCTCCAGATGGAGTAGATTTACCGCCGCTATCAAACAAACCACCAGGATTTTATGTTCCATTACATCGACGTCCAATAATTTATTTACAACTTGCAAAAGAGAAATGCTTTGGCAAAAAGGGAGTATATGTAAATTTTTATGATAATTCTTATCATAATTTAAAATTTCTAGCATAATTTCGAAATATAAAACAGATAATTTATGATTAGCAATAGAAAAAAAAAATAATGAATAATAAAAAAAATTTGTTTTAGGTAAGATAGGTTGCTTTTTTTAATTTTTACATTCAAACTACAAATGATTATTATATCTTAAACATATAGTATATATATATATATATTAAAAAACAAAAAATAGAAAATATAATTTTGTCTTAAAAAAAATTTTTAGATAAAAATGAATAATACAAAAACTTCAAGTGCAATTAACAAAAGTATTATTTCCTTCAAAATACAATTTTAATATCTGATAAGTACTACTTTTATATTAATTTAATTTTAATTTTTAGCAAGAAAATATCCTGCGTCGACGAAAACGAATAATTCAGTAAAGAAAATATTAATCACATTTTTCAGATGCGACAATTAAAATGTAACAAAAAACATAAAATCAAACTAACTCTATTTGGCTTAATTAGCAAAATAAACCACTGAATTTCAGTCAGTTTTTCAAAAGTATAAATTTGCATAGAAATCTATTAGCATCTGAAAAAAAATTTTTTTTTTTGCGTCATTTGTCCATTAAAAAAGCAATGTGAAATACAAGGAAACATTTTTTCATTGAAAAAAATTTCTCTATTTAATAATTAAATCATTGATTTTGTCTTACATGTCTTACATGATAGAAAATATAATAACAAAATGTATGTACATAATATTATCAAAATAAGTTAATTGGAAGTTTAAAATGAGAAAAGATAAAGTTAAAAGTGAAAATAATAATTGGATAGAAATTTGTTTGAAATTTATTCAACACAAGACAAATTTGTCCAGTAAAATTTAACAATTTTCAGCATTTTTGAGTGCTCATTTTATACTATTAATTTCACGTAAAATTTTCAATCGTTTTTTTTAGCTTGCCTAAAATTAAAAAAAAAATCTTTTTTAAAGAAGATATTATTTGAAATGCAAAAAAGGCTGTAGTAATGCATAAGTAAAGATTTTTGTTTTGAAAAATTGACCAAAAATATTTTTCAGTCTTAAAAAATTATAAAGAAAAAAATTGAAAGTGGAAAACATCCAAATGTAAAAGATAAAACAAATGCCGAAAAAACCAGAGTAATTTTATAATATGCTGAACTAATTTTGTATTAAATCCATAAAATCGAAATTTCGAGACTAGAGACTTAATAAAAATTTATTTCTTAGATAAATGTAAAGCTTATTTTAATTTTATATCTCAAGTAACAAATTCATTTATACTTATCTTCCAACTGCATGAATTAACACTGATTTAAAAAAATTCATTTATTAAATGTTATCTCCTATTTTTTATTTGCATCAACTAAAAGATTATAAGCTATTTGTTTAATGAACTTTCTTTGTTTTATAACCCAAATTTACTTGCATTATTGAAATATCGAAGTGAACTTCCAATCTGACAATCACTTTTATAAGTAAATGAAATAATACTATAAATTAAGTTTTACTTACTATCTAAAGAGTTATAGTAATAGCTTTTTAGTTACTTGTAATCATTAACTTTGTTATAAGCTAATACCTTAACATATGAAAATTATAATTATTATTTATCGAAAGTATGAGTCCTTAACAACTGCAATTATCAGTTTAGTTTAACTAAATATGCACTGTATGCATCCGATCAATTTCCATTCAATATCATAATCTGCAACAAACCAAATTTTTTAAATTTTACATTTAATTACCTTTTGATTTTGTCACTTCATATTATCATCATATAATTTCACTTAACGATTTAGTTCAAACTACTCATTTGAGTTAACCAATCAACAAATAAGGACAATTCATTGTTGAAAATTGAGATTTTCTAAATGCTTACTGATATTAAAACAATATTCTAAATAATTAATTATATTAAAACAGCAATTTAATAATTTCAGCAAATTATTTTTCATACTTTCTTCAAAAAAAAAAATTTTTTTCGTTTAAATTACTCATATAATATGAATCAGTCAAACAAAAACGAAAATTTTAAATTATTGATTAAAAATAGCATCAAACTGTCACAATTATATTTTAATTTAATTTATGGAATTGATTTCTAGCAATGATTTCTTTTTTATTATTAACGTTTTATATATTATCATAAAAAAAAGAAAAAAAAACACCGATATATTAAAACATGCATCACAACATAATAAAGTGGGGAATGAAGCTCTTCACTTTAAAAAAAATGCTAATTTTAATCAACAAATAATGGAGCTAATAAGCTCTTTTATAGGAAAAAAAAATAAACTTAAAAATATTAGAAAATTTGAGCAATGAATCAGTTAACGCTAATAACTGATGATTCGACATATTAATGCATGTTTCACTTAAAACAATACGTAAATGACAGTTACAATGGAATTTAAATAAATTTTTGCTGAAAATAAGAATGTACTAATAGCTTAGTTAATAATTAATTCAGAAAATCTTTTTTTACAAGTAAACTATAGCTAATTAAAAATCATATTCCGATACAGCAATAAAAACAATTGAATTATTAATTAATTTGCCCGCTCTATAAGGTAACTTAGAGATACTTCGTATCGCAAGCTTATATGTTCCTGCTTTAAGTGAACTTTCAACATTTTGCAACGTTGCTCGACCATTTTTCGTCTAAAAGTTTTTTTTTTTTAAATATTATACCAAAGTATTATATCAGAGGTTCCAAAAGTTTTTAGCTCAAATTATGCCGATTTATATCAAAACTTTTAAAAGTTATATCAAATATCATGCCTAAAGTTAAGCATCAAAACTTTTCTATTTAAAAAAATTACAGTAAAAAGTTATGGATTAATGTTGATTAATGATACCCTAGGTTAATTGCTTAATTATACCGAGCTAAATTGGCATAGATATCTCAAAGAAAATTGCTTTCACAATGTGAATATTGCAAAAAAGTTAACAAATTTTTCTAGCTAATAAATACTAGTATCGTTTTTAGCTTGAATTTTCTTTTTTCTTTTTTTTTTTTTTTTTTCACAAATATGCCAAAATACTATCACTGGTAGAAAAATTCGATGATAAGCGAACAATTAGGCAATTAAAAAAATGGACTAATTAAAATTCAAAGAAAAAAATCTAATAATAACACTAAAAATAAAATTTTTAGCTTACTTTAAAAATAAATGGAATATGTTTGGTGGATTTTGAAACTGATTTCGTAATGAAACGCGTTCGGTGAAGCACCCTTGAACGATGATCATAAGCTGTTAGACGTAGTAATGATGTAGCTATTGGTATGATTTTTGGTAGTGATAACATGTAAATTATTATAGGTAAGTTAGAACAATTTTGACAATTCGGTATACATTTCCTGAAAATGTGCATTCCAGTTAAAACATTTTTTCACTCTAAACAAAAAGATTTGACTTAAAAAATAAGAAAGAAAGAAATGAGACATTATGTCGTTTCTTTTCTTTTTCTACTTTTTTATTCGAAGTAATTAAATTTTTATAAATTTATAAATTAATAAAAATTTTCTCACTGATCTTTCAGATGATAATCAACTGGACATGGCGTTGTAAGGCATTCATAACTTCCTAATTGATTAAAACATAATTCATCAGTTAAGCATGGATTAGATAAGCATTCATTTATATCTGTAAAGCATAACAAATATAATTTTGAAAGTAAACTAATTTTATTTAATTTTTAAATTTTTTTTTTCGAATAATTTTTCTCAAAGCGAACTCTTCATCTAATTCTTTAAAATTAATTTTATTAAAAATTGAATACATTCTTATAAACTCATTTAGATATAACAAAATTTTTAATTGTAAAGAGAATAATTATAGAAGAGAAGAATTATAATTCTAGAAGAATTATGGAAGAGCGAAAGAGAAAAAAAAGCAAATAAGGAAGGGATAAAATTAATTTTTTTCTTTTCGATTTTTTAAACAAATCTAAAAAAGATTTCAAACAATATTAACAATAAATAGCTATGATAATTAACTAAAAAGTTTATAGTTTTAATTTTCCACTTTCACTTTTTTTAAATAAACAATTCGAATGAGACAATTATTTAACATTTAAGTAACAATAATACTATATCGCTGCAAAAAAAGGAAAATTCAAATATTTAAAATATAAATTTACCGGTACAATTATTTTGCTCAATTGTATAACCTTCTGGACATAAACATTTATAACTGCCTTCAATATTTTCACATTCATAATTGCATGGCAAATTGAATGTACATTCATTAATATCTTAAAATTACCAAAATATGAAAATGTTATTCAAAGTAAGCAAAAATCTTTTTGAAAAAAATTTCTTCATACAGAAGAAAGGTTTATTTGACTAATTATTTGCGAAACAATTGAAATTTCAGTCGTAAACGATTTGAAAAGTAATGCAAATATCAAAAAAGTGGTATACTTTTATGATCAAAAATACAATCATTTATTTTTAATCTAAAAATCTTGCACATTTAATCAAATAAACTAAGATTTGAATTTGCATTATTATCAATTCGAGCTAATATATAACTGCAGCTTTACTTTTAAAATTAAATTAAAGTTAGTACCTTGACATGTTTCACCAATACGATAGTAACCTGGTGCACATGTTCTCCAATTTTCATCAAATCTAATTGATTTTACATTTGCCAAATTCTCTTTCGTTTCTACCACACAACAACAAAATCAATAAATCAAATGAAAATAAAAACTAAAAAAAAAAAAATAGAAGGTAAGATAAATGCTAAGCAAAATAATTTAGTTAGCATATTAAGCAAAATGATTTAATTAGCATACCTTCACAAATACCATTAATATCAATTGGAAAACCTGTTGGACAAATACAATTATATGAACCTAAATGATTCAAACATTTCAAATTACCACATAATAATTTATCACATTCGTTTACATCTGAAAATTTACTTTTCATATTTATTATTGCTACATGAAGTATTGGCACAGTTACTTAACTTCAAATAAAATACCACTATTTTGAAGTATGCAAAAATTTTTTGAAAAAGATTTTTTATATAGAACAAAATTTTGATTAATTTTAAATTTCAATTAATTCCAAATGTCACTTAAAAAAAATTAGAAATAGAAAAGATCGCTTTAAAAAAATAGAAACACCATTTCAAAAATAGAAATATCACTTAAAATAGATAAAATAGCAGTTTAATATTTTGATAAAAAAAATGCATCAATTTACTATTTCTTGACTTAATCATCCCAATGTTTAAAAACCTCAAAGAAAAAAACTATAATTTAAATCTTGAAAATGTCCTTATTTAACACAAATTATGAATTATGTGCATTAAATTAAATTTAAAAAAAAACAAAGTTGTATGTTCTATTTAATTCTATCATTTTTCTATATTTATAGCAAAGTCAAAAATTTATTGATTATAAATTAATTTACCTTTGCAATGACCACTAGAATCTCGAATATATCCTTCGGCACATAGCGATGCTTCACATAAGAATGCACCTGCAACTTTTTCATTTATATATTTAATAATAGCCAATTACTTATGCTACCTGTGCTATTTCATATTCATACATTGCTGAACATTAAATAAATTAGATTTCGAACAAAAAAAGCACATACCTGGTATATTCTTACATAAGACACCGCTTGTACAGTTATGCATACCAAGTGCACACTCATCAATATCCTTGCAATCACCTCGTGAATCTACTTTAAAACCTGGTTGACAATTACGCTCGCATATGTAATCACCAATAGCATTAATGCAGTGTGAATGCTTATGGCATATTTCTTGGCTAGATTCACATTCATTAATATCTAAATTAATATTACAGTTTGTTGGTATAAATAATATAAATTTTTTTTAATATTGATGATTTATTAAAAAAATATATATTTATTAGTGTAAAAAAATTTATGAGTTACAAATAATTAAAAATGTCATAAATTACACTAATATAAAATTTTGTTCATACATCTCTCATATTCTTAAATAAATATATATTTCTTTACCAAATTGAAAAAATAATAATAATCATTGAAAACCACAAAACTAACTGACCAACACAAGTGCCATCCTTAATTTGATAACCAATTGGACAAATGCCATAAACTGATTTAATCTTAACAATAGCATTCAATTTAGCATCACCATCTATTGATTTCCAGAATATAAATTTAAAAATCACCGACCTAGCAAGGCCAATATCCATTCCTTTTGATGCATCATAAACAATGCTTTCATTCCAGCTTAGTTAATAATAATAAAACAAAGATTAAATTTAAAAATTAAAGCAAAAAAAAAAGCAACAAAATTTTAGAATTGCAAAGTTCATTTTTTCTAATTTTTTCCACTTTTTTATTGTCATTTTGGTATCTTTCTTCCATTCTTTTTTCTTCTACTCTATTTGAAATGGCAAATTTTCGAAAGTTTAAACTTTTATATTTAAATTTAATTTTATAATATTCTAAAATTTCATTCTTTAGCTGGATGAAGAAGTAAAAAAAAATATAATAAAATGATATTTGATAGCTTTAATTTAATGATTTCTAACGTACTAGAATGGTATATTTGCATAATTCGAAATATGTAAAATTGCAAATCCATTGCCACGTATTATGCCTGGCTCTTGTTCAATCATTTCCTCTTTAGCTTGATCTATCCAAGAGTAATTCTAAATTTAAAATGAAATAAATAAAGCTAAAACTAGAATTAACACAAAATTTTAGCATAGCATTAAATGTGAGTCTTTTGTTTTTATAACTTTTTTTTATTTTTATAAATAAGCAGTAATTAATATTCCATAAATGCAAGCAGAATAATTGTTGTAATATTGTAATCTTGTTTTAACTTATTTTACGAATTTTAATTTATATTTGCCCCAAAATAGATCTTCAGATTTATAAAATGAATTGAAATATGCAAGGATTGTTAAAAATTCAAATACATTCCCTCACTTTTTTTCCATTTCTGAAATGTTTTTTTACTTACCCCTTATTTAATAATACTTGTAGAATTTATTTACTAATAATTGTTAAAAAAAGAAGATAAAATAAGAAAAGATTGTTAAAAAATTTTCTCCATTGTTATTATTAAACTTATTTAGTAATATTTATAAAATAAATTGAAACAAAAAAAAAAAAAAAAACGTCAAAAATTCAAATACATTTTCTCTTTCTTTTCCCATTTCCATTATTTAAACTTACTTACCAACCTCATTATTAAAATGTGGTAATCGTCCATTGAAAATCATTTCAAATTGCGCATATTCATCATTAATGCCAAATCCTTTCTGATAAACACGAATCATTTCACCACTTTCAAATCGATAATCAATTACACGATGAAATTCAACATTTACAAGTGAATTTTCTTGATTTGGATTAAATGCTAGTTGTGGTGAAGCTATTACTATATAACCAAGTATTATTTTTGCTACAGCACCTAAAAAAATTAGAATTAAAATTATGTAAAGCCATAATATTTTTATAAATAAATACAAAACTGTTCTATTTCAAATTCCATTTTATTTTTTTATAATATAAATCTTATTATATATCATATGTTAATTATACACATTTTATATATTATACATATTTTATGATATATATTATAGGATGATGGATATTTTTAAACTATTTATTTATTTTATTCAAAATGAATTCTTTTTTTTGTTTCTTTTCTCCCCAAATATTGATTTTTAAATGAGTTATAATTGCATGACATTTAGTTACTTAATTGATTTAAACACAGAAATGTTATGTGGAAGAAATTTGATTTTCATAATTCTCACATTTATTTAGGAAAGATTTATAATTTTATTAATTAAGACTATAACAATTAATTAAATTATTATTTTTTTTTGCCAATTATATCACTTTGTATTAGGTTTATACCTTGTATCAGTTTATAAATTGATTTTTTTTCTTTTATAATTTTTTGCTAATTAAATCACATTCAACCTTGTTCGCTGAATATAGTGTTTGCCTTCATTGAAACCATATTACCTTCCATTTTAGGCTTTATATTAATAAGTACTGTTTCACGTTTAATTCTTCGACCATTCACAATTCCTTTAACTTTGTTAACCACGCCAGTTAAACCTGCTAAAGAAGACACTTTTAAATCCCAAATACTATAATTTAAAAAAAAAAAAATTGATGAATATAGTGATGTAATTTGAGGAATTTTAATTTTTAGTAAATTAATTTAAAACGAATATTGTAGTAAATATGTTATACTTTCAAAATAAAATACTTTATAGCATAAAAAAAAAAAAATAATCTTTGCATTTATCTAGACAATAATGTGTCACTGAAATAGCATAGGTAAATGAAAGTTAATTAATTAGTATTCCATCTTCACCCTCTCCTACTCTTTCCCCTCCCCCCCAAAAAAAAATATGTATATATATGAATTTATAGGTATTAATTAATAATAACTAACTTTTTACAATCACTTGGACATCATCGTATGACTTTCCATATCGATTTGATGCGATACATTTGAATATTGCACGATCAGAAAGTAATAATTTTGTAATATAAAGAGAATTATTGGCCTAAAAAAATTTCACGTCAGGTTGACACAAAAATTTAAACGTCTTTCGTAAGTTTCACTGAAATTTCACCTCGCATTTAGTCACTTTCGGTCATATTAAAAATTGGTAAATTTCATTGGAACTTTGCATTCGTTACCTTTGGTAATATTAAAGATGTGTGACATATTAAAATATAACGTTTTTTTCTTCATAAAAGAAATTGTCTTATTGATATACTACCATTGATTTAATTTAAATATTTCTAAAGAATATTCAATAAAAAAAAGAAATAAATAAATAAAAAAAAACAGGAAGAAAAGATACAAGCACTTGTGTTCTGCTACTATCCTTCAATTTTAGATCATTTTTTGTCCATTGAACAATTGCTGTTAACGGATTGGACATCAGTTGACAACTTAGCATCAGTGAATCATTTAAGTTTACATAGACTTGTTTTGGTGACACCTGGACGTGTGGTGCGTCATCATGCACTTCCAGAAAATTTATTTCAGTTGTTTGTTTTTGATTTGTTACATAGCACTGATAACCAAGTAAATCTGTCTAAAAGAAATATTTATTAATTTGTCTTTTTAAAACATATAAATAATAAATTCCTCTTCTAACATGAAAATTAGATATTAAAATTATAAACCTATAATACTATAAAACTATCTTGTCCATATGGTTAATTGAAAAAATTGGTGTAGAAGATTGGCATCTAACACTTATTTTACTAAAATTAAAAATTTAATAAGGTTTTAATCAGCAAATTTAACAATTTTTATTAAACACTATAAACGAAAAGAAATAAAATTTCTTAGATCACTGCTTTTGCTTAAACTCATTCAAATTTTATTAGTGAATTTTTTAAATCAAACAGTAAAAATGAAATTTCAAATGAATTACCAAATTAGTTTCGGTGACATCATAAACAACAAGTGAACCATTATGCAAAAAGTTTACTGTTTCGGCGGAATCGCTTAATAGTGTATTGAAAAATTTCCAAACTATATTTTTTTTTGAAACGGTATTATCGAATATACAATTTAATATTGCAATTGAACGTTTCTGAATATTAAATTTCATTCTAAATTTAGAAATAATTGTTTCAAAGGTGACAAATTAATGAAATTAATTGCATAAAAATGTGTCACATTTGAAATAAAAAGAAATGCATCATTTCAGATACGTGAATAATTCTTTGCATTATTTAATAAAAATATTTAAGTATCTTTATTTATGCTAAAAATTACACTATAAATTTATTTAAATTATTTATTGGAAAACAAAAAAGAAAAGTCATTTATTGGAATAACAAATTTTCATGAATAATTAATTTATTAACTAATTATACCAATGGATTTTGCTTACTTTTTCCGTAATTTGATCTGTAAATAAGGTAGCAGTACTGGTAACAGAACCAACGATATTTTTTGCCAAGCAAATATAATCGCCCAAATCATCATTACTTTCAATTTTTACTCGTAATATTGAATAACCATCTGTTGGTTGTAACATACCTGCCAGGTAAGTTCCATTACGAATCCAAATAATATGTGGCTTAGGTTGACCAATAGCACTAAAAATATTTCACAATCATAATTCTTTCACAATTTTTCTTCTTTTTTTTTTCTAAAGATTATTCAATTATCAAAGTATATTTTGTGAATCTAATTAGATGTTATAAAATGATAGAAGTTAATATTAATTTATTCAATTAATAGACTATCGTTTTAGTTTAAACTTTTAATTTTTGATTTTGGCGAATTTGTCTCAAATTATTTAAGTAGAAATAACCTGCAATGAAGATGTGCGACAGTTCCTGGCAAAACTTTTTGTGTACGTGGTGATCGTATGAAACGTGGTACAGCTAATGGAGCACGACGTAATTCACGAGATTCAGGTAAGCAACGTATCAATATTCTATTTGTACCATTTTGTGGAAGATCCTTTAAATTACAGAAAGTTTGAAAAGAAGAAAAAATAATTTTAATCTAAAATATTGGTATAATGCAAAATTAAGAATTAAATGTAAAATTTACACAGCGTTTATTGCTTAAATTCATAATTATTTAAATTAATTCTAATAATGATCTATATAAGTTAAAAAGATTAATAATTTATAGAAGCCATAATAATTTATGTAATTTAATAAAAATTAATAATAATCAAGTAACATATATACCTGTAGATCTTGCTTCCATGGTAATAAATTATTATTATTATCAGGAACATCACCACGTGCTGGCACATATGTTGTTTTAATTGGTTGTCCAAATTCATCACATTCTACCCAAATCACTTTGAAATCTTTCCTTAGTTCTGAAAAAATGGAATGAAAAATTTTTAAATTTCTGTCAATTAAAAAACAGAAGTTTTTATTAGATAGTTTTTTTTTTTAACATTTTGCAAAATTTATTTCATATTTGTTATAAAATTATGCCTTATTATCTATTTGATATTTTTTAACAGAATTAGAAAAACATAATCAAAAATTTATTAGAGAAATAAAATTAATAATTTACAAATAGGAATAAAATAAATTATTAAAATTAGATTTCGAAGAAAAAAATTTTAAACAAACCATTAACAATAAGTCGTCTTGATCCAATTGCTTGACCAGCATTACTTTTTGCAATGCAGTGATAAAAGCCATCATCTTCCGGCGCTCC